GGCCCCCAACTAAAACGCAAAAAGTCATCCAGTGTTCCCTGGCAGAGCAGAAGCCAGCCGGCCACCACAGCTGAGGGCTCACCAGGAACCCTCGAAGACCCGCCAACTCCCGGCACCTCTCGGCCATGCCGGCCCCCGAACACCGTCACCCCGCCAGGAGAACCAGCCAGAACACGCCAAAACAAAACAAAAAATCTATCAACAATCCCATGACCCAAGGAGATATGTGCGCCAGGCGTCGTACAAGCGGACCGTTGAAGAGGGAAGGCAAACGGCAGTAGCAAAGCCAAAACGCGAAAACAGGACGTGAGGGGTGGGGGGGAAGTGTTCAGACGTCCGCTCGGCGTCAAGGTTGAACCAGGAGTCCCCGTGAGGCATGTAAATTGTAGATATATAAAAAGACGCCTATTTGAATGCAACGTTATCAAATTTTAAAAGCAATCGGTAAAGAGGTTTCGAAGATTTCCCTCACATGAAAAACACATGAATAACACAATTTTCAAAAAAACATGTGTTTTACAGTCACAGATGTGACATATATATAGTATGTATATAAAAACCTGCTCAGATGCGAATGGAACGTTGTGTGAAAATTTCAAAGCAATCGGTGAAGAACTTTCGGAGATTAGCGATTTTGAACAAAAGAAAGTTTCCATTTATATATATATATATATATATATATATATATATATATATATATATATATATATATATATATATATATATATATATAAAATGGAGGTTCGAAACGTCGTGCAAATTATACAAATAAGTGTAATACACTCTATAGTAAATCACTTCTTTTCTTCTCCTTAAAGTACGAAAATGAGTTTTGGAGAACTCCTATTTCAATTAAGCCCTGATGCTAAGAAAATAGTTAGAGGGATAGAAGCCCTAAACCAGAAAATAATAAATACAGAATATGCGGTCATATTCAATGAAACATGTTTGAAAGAAAACCTGCTGCCAGTATACACCAATATATATGTATATATATGTATATATATGTATTATATGTATATATATATATATATACATATATATATATATATATATATATATATATATATATATATATATATTATATATATATATATATCTATAATATATATATATATATATATATATATATATATATCCTTATGTTCCTTGCGCCTTCAGCCTGAAGTCTCCAAAGGAATTTGTGGACTTTCTGCGGGGCGCACGGGCCACAGGGATAAGAGCCTCGTTGGACGTAGAATCGCTGTTTACCAACGTACCTGTGGACGAGACAATCGGAATGATAGCCGACAGAGTGTATCGTGATCCAGCCTGTACTCCTCTTGACATGCCAGAAAGTATTCTGAGGAAACTACTCCAAGCTTGTACTAAAGAGGCACCCTTCTTGAGCCCGGATGGGTACATGTATAGCAAGTAGATGGGGTCGCCATGGGTTCTCCCCTAGGTGTCCTGTTTGCAAACTTCTACATGGGTACCATCGAGCAAAAAGTCTTAGTCGACATGAACTTGAAACCGGCCATATACTGCAGGTATGTTGACGACATTTTTACACAGGTACCTGATGTCAGACATCTGCAGGAGCTGAAGGAGGCATTTGAGCAGAGTTCCGTGCTGCGTTTCACTTACGAGACGGAAAAGGATGGGAAGCTGCCTTTTCTAGATGTAACAGTCATGGAAAAGGGCGGAGGTTTCCACACTGCAGTCTACACAAAGGAAACAAACATAGGAATGTGCCTAAATGCCAACAGCGACTGCCCTGACAGGTACAAGAGGAGTGTGTTAACGCATACGTCGACCGTGCTCTCAGCCACAGCTCAGAATGGAAGCAAGTCGACGAAGAACTCTGTAGGGTAAGGCAGGTTCTAGTCAATAACGGCTTCTCCAATTGGCTTCATCGAAGACATCATAAGAAGGAAAGTGAAAAGCCATGCAACCTCCGAAGAGACAACTAACACAACACCTATACCCCCTATTAGACTATTTTACAGGAACTTCTTTTCCACAGCTCATAAACAGAGGAAAGGGTCCTGAAAGATATTGTTAATAGAAACGTTATCCCTACAGACAAAAATCAGAGGATACAACTGACGATTTACTATAAAACTAGAAAAACGGCCAGCCTACTCATGAGAAACTCTCCAGACACGAAACAGAACGCTTTAAAAGAGACTAACGTCGTCTATGCCTTCAAATGCCCACTTGGGGACTGTAAGCTCCAAAAAACCCAGTATATAGGCAAGACAACAACATCTCTTTCTAGGCGTTTAACGATGCATAAACAACAGGGCTCCATTAAGGAACATATAATCTCTTCCCATAACCAAACCATCGCCAGAGAAATCCTAGTAAACAACACAGAAATCATCGATAGATACAGCGATAGCAGGCGGCTTGACGTTTGCGAGGCACTACACATCAAGAAGTCAACACCAGCAATCAACAGCCAATTATTGCACAACTATATTCTACCCACCTCAAGACTCCGCTCCAATATAGAAGCATCAAGAAATATGGACCAATAGGCTTCTACAAACACTTCTATTCAATACCCATTGTTTCTGTTCTGTCTCGTGTTGATACTTTTAATACCCTATTAATATCCTCTAGTGTTCTGTCTTGTGTTAATGCCACATCATCCTTCCCACCTCACTCAAATGTAATGCCACATCACCCTTCCCACCTCACTCAAATGTAGATATAAAATCAGGGAACGCAAGTTCTAATCAGTTGTGTATTTGTGAAGTCTTTGAAAATGTAATAAGTTTTACGAAACGCGCCCGTGTCGCGTCAGACTAGAAATAAAAATGAATTTTGGAGAAGTGATTTTTGATTTACCTCCAACAGTGAAGCATAATGTACGAAAGATTGAGAAAATTCGTGTTAGAATTATTAATCTTACTTTTTCGGTCATATTTAATAATATATGTCTACAGGAAAGACTGCTACCAAAATATACTAATATATACATATATATACATATATATATAAAATATATATATATACATATATATACATATATATATATATATACATATATATACATATATATACATAATATACATATATATATATACATATATATACATATATATACATATATATACATATATATTGGTGTATACTGGCAGCAGGTTTTCTTTCAAACATGTTTCATTGAATATGACCGCATATTCTGTATTTATTATTTTCTGGTTTAGGGCTTCTATCCCTCTAACTATTTTCTTAGCATCAGGGCTTAATTGAAATAGGAGTTCTCCAAAACTCATTTTCGTACTTTTAAGGAGAAGAAAAGAAGTGATTTACTATAGAGTGTATTACACTTATTTGTATAATTTGCACGACGTTTCGAACCTCCATGGTTCATTCTCAAGTGAACAGATCTTACAATACTAGTTGATTTTATACCCGCATTAGGTCAGGTGATAATACAATGAAGGTGAAAAACATGGGGGGATACATAAGGGATAAACATAGGGGCTGCAGAAGGCTTATTGGCCCATACGAGGCATCTCCTATCTAAACACAAAGATTAATCCAGTGTAATTGGCCTGTTATGTTGGACATTGTCTTCTGTGTTGGCATCGATATGTTCTTGTCTTGTCCTTACTCTCATGGTGGGTAGAGTAAATAGTTCCGTGATTTGGGTGTTCATGGTAGGTCGCTCTATTCTTATGTGAATTGCCTCAAGAATTTGTAATCTTCTTGAATCTTGGGTTTTGTCTATTATGCAAGTATTCTTGTTCAACATTTCTCTTGTTAGAGTAATGTCATGGGTTTGTCTCATGTGATTCCTAGGGGCACCAGATTGAAGATGGCATGTCAAACGCCTCGTCAGCTTGGTCGACGTCATACCTATGTACTTACATTGAAGGTTACATCCGTCGTGGGGGCAAGTGTACATGTATACAACGCTTGACTGCTGTAGAGGGTTCTCCGTCGGCTTCGGGCTGTTTTTGATAAGGAGTTCGGAAGTCTTCTTGGTTTTGTAGAATATTATCAGATTTATGTTTTGGTTAGGAGTAGTGCTTTTTACTCCTTTACGGATTATTTCTTTCATTATTCTTTCCTCTTTTATATGTTCACTGTGCATGGTTGATTTGTACTATAATTTTATTGGGGGTGTTGTGGTTTCTGTTCTAGGTTCTGAATTATACCAACGGTCCAAGTGTCTTCTTATAGCAGCGTTTATTTCCGCGTTGCTATATCCGTTGTTCACCAATACCTGAGTTACTCTTTCAAACTCTCTACTCACGTTGCTCCATTCAGAGCAGTGGGTAAGCGCTCGACGAATGTAAGCATTGAGAACACTGGCTTTGTATCTTTGGGGGCACTCACTTCTACCGTTCAGGCATAATCCTATGTTGGTGGGCTTGGTATATACGTTGGTGCTTAAAGAGTTTCCTGTTTTTGTTACCCCTATGCAGCCCCTATGTTTATCCCTTATGTATCCCCCCATGTTTTCACCTTCATTGTATTATCACCTGACCTAATGCGGGTATAAAATCAACTAGTATTGTAAGATCTGTTCACTTGAGAATGAACCATGGAGGTTCGAAACGTCGTGCAAATTATACAAATAATTGTAATACACTCTATAGTAAATCACTTCTTTTCTTCACCTTAAAAGTACGAAAATGAGTTTTGGAGAACTCCTATTTCAATTAAGCCCTGATGCTAAGAAAATAGTTAGAGGGATAGAAGCCCTAAATCAGAAAATAATAAATACAGAATATGCGGTCATATTCAATGAAACATATATATATATATATATATATATATATATATAAATATATATATATATATATATATGTATAATATATATATATATATATATATATATATATATATATATTTATACACATAATATATTTTTTAGATATACCCTTAAAAGAATATATTCAACTTGTTCCTTCTTCCATACCAAAAATATATAATCATATAGACCCGTTATAAGGGTTGAATATTTGCAACATACTTAATACTTTGTTTCACCTTTACAGGACTATACCCACCTGGGAGAGGATTTTCCTTGTGGAGATCATGATAGTTGGTATAATTGGAGGAGTGTGTTCGACCCTCTCTGCGCTGTACTCCATTATCGTCGCCTCTTTCAGTGAATCATGCTTCACTGAGTTCAGCAAATGCACCGCTTGAACCAGTAGCGTGTCATCAGTTTTCCACGATCACCCAATAGCGCCTCTTCAGTTCTCTTCGATCAGCCAATAGCGTCTCTTCAGTTCTCCACGATCAGCCAATTGCGTCTCTCCAGTTCTCCACGATCAGTCAATTGCGTTTCTCTAGTTCACAACGATCAGCCAATAGAGTCTCTCCTGTCTTCTGCAACCAACCAATTGCATCTCTCTTGAAACTTGATATAACTAATAGTCTCTTCTGCTTTCTGCCAGTAGTGTCTTTTCTTCCAACTATTGCCATCTAATAGTGGTTCTCAGTCTTGTGACAACCAATACGGTCTTTTATCTACTCCAGCAAATAATTGTTTTCCTTTGCTTCAACCTCGCTTGACCAGTATCAGTTTGTAAATCTACAGCTCTTTAATACATTTATAATATATCAATTGGCAAATTTACTTTATTTTAATCAAACCAATATAATTCTTCGCCAATTAATAATTTGCAATTTACATTACGTGAGCCAGTAGTATTTAACTGTTTCAATTACAGAACTTAAATTATATATATTTACTAATTTGGTTATCTCACAGTGATAGCCAAGGGCCAGATTCACGAAGCAGTTATATAAGTTTTTACGAACGTTATTTTGTTATGAACATAACGGTTATGAACCGTTATGAACGGTATTTTGACGAGACTACACACTAGAAGGTAAAGGCACGACGACGTTTCGGTCCGACCTGGACCATTCTCAAGTCGATTGACCATTCTCACAATCGACTTGAGAATGGTCCAGGACGGACCGAAACGTCGTCGTCTCTTCACCTTCTAGTGTGTGGTCTGGTCAACATTAGCCACGTTATTGTGACGCATCGCCTGCATACGAACGTGTATATCTTTCCTCAATGTTTGACGGCTTTGGTTACATTTATTAAACAGTTTACAAGCATGAAAACTTCCCAATCAACTGTTGCTGTTGTTATGATTGTTATGAACAGCATCCTTGTGCTTCGGAGCTCATTAACAGTTCAATAATTTTAAACAAAGCCGCCAAAGAATGAGAAAAGATGTTCAGGTTCGTAACTGCTTGCGTAACTGCTTTGTGAATCTGGCTCCAGAACCTGAGCCCAGCTCTCCCAATCACATTTTCCCGTCTGCTTCATGGTTATAAGAATCGTCAGTACGCAATGTCTACATCAATGTTAGGATCGTCATACCATCATCTAACTCATACCAAGAGTTAGTATAAATGAAGTTAGGTCTGAGTGGGAAAATGTTGTAAGTGAACTTACAACAAGAAAACCTCAAGGCTGTCCTGGTACCTCTGGTATTCATAATATATATAAATGATTTAGATTCAGGTTTGAGCAGCAATATTTGCATATTTGCCGATGATACAAAACCGAGAGGGAAATAAACGCGGAAAAAGACTCACTATGCCCGGAGGGGGTCACGTCAGATATGCGCTCGTGGATCGTTCAAAAAATTGAGGATACGCGGCTCCGAGGTCAGCAGACACTCAGCAAGGACTTGTTGGACTGCTCCATGGTGCCCTGCAAGGCGATTCCAGCTTACACAGATTACACGATAACTCTGTGTGGAGAAGAAAACTTCTGGTGAGGGCCGCTGCAGGGGTGGTAACGTAGCTGGGCCTAGTTTCCTGGCCAGGAATCAGGCACTGGTGTCAGGCTGGGCACGTTAACTGCGCCGCAGCTGCTCTACTCCAGAGAGTTGTGTTTCCGTGCGACATTTTGTATACAGAGGGTGGCTGCCCTCACTCCTCAATACTGAACTAAAGTGTCCATCTCGCAGAGTTTTGATGATATGGTCAATGCCAGTGCCAGGCTATATATACTTCTCTGTTCACAGTCCTCCCCACCATTCTCCCCTCACCCATCTTCTCGGCCTCCCAACCATTCCTCACTCAACCGTCCCCTCGTCCTCCCCACCATTCCCCACTCCAACATCCCCTCTTCCTTCCCAGCATGCCCCACTCCCTTAGTTGTATCTTTGTCCTCCCCACCATTCTCAATTCCCCCATCCCCTCCTCCCCATCATCCCAAACTCCCCCGTCACCTGGCCCTCCCCCACCATTACCCCTTTCCTAGTCCCCTCGTCCACCGCACCATCTCTCACTTCCGTCCCCTTGTCATCCTCACCATTCCCCACTCCCTCATCCGATGCCTTCCCAAATGGTCTGTTGTTCACATCAGAAAATTGGGAACATCAAGTGATCTGATGTTCCCATCACTGACATATAAGAAAAACAATTAAAAAATGAAATGAAAATATGAAAAAATATAAAAACCAACTATTCTCACGAAATGAATGGTCTTGTAAACAACACAGCTCAATGCCAACGCAATTCACACAAAATAATTAAATCAAAATGAAAATAAATCAAAATCTAGGAAAATTCAATTTATCAATGCAATCAGAAACATTGAAATAGAATTGTAACATATCTAGTATTGCATGTGTGTTACTCTTACATGCAACAGATGGAATATATGTTCACTATGCATGGTTGATTTGTAATATAATTTTATTGGAGGTATTGTGGTTTCTGTTCTAGGTTCAGGATTATACCAACGGTCCATGCATAGTGAACATATAAAAGAGGAAAGAATAATGAAAGAAATAATCCGTAAAGGAGTAAAAAGCATTTCTCCTAACCATTTCTCCTAACCTGATAATATTTTACAAAACCAAGAAGACTTCCGACCTCCTTATCAAAAACAGCCCGAAGCCGACGGAGAACCCTCTACAGCAGTCAAGCGTTGTATACATGTACACTTGCCCCCACGAAGGATGGAACCTTCAATCTAAGTACATAGGTATGACGTCGACCAAGCTGACGAGGCGTTTGACATGCCATCTTCAATCCGGTGCCCCCAGGAATCACATGAGACAAGACCATGATATCACCCTAACAAGAGAAATGTTGAAGAAAAATACCAGTATAATAGACAAAACCCAAGATGCAAGAAGATTGCAAATTCTTGAAGCAATTCACATAAGAATAGAACAACCTACCATGAACACCCAAATCACGGAACTATTTACTCTACCCACCATGAGAGTAAGGACAAGACCAGAACATAACGATGCCAACACAGAAGACACCGTTCAACATAACAGGCCAATTACACTTGATTAATCTTTGTATGTAGATAGGAGCTGCCTCGTATGGGCCAATAGGCCTTCCGCAGTTACCTCTATTCTTATGTTCTTATGTTTCACCCCACATTTATCCCTTATGTATCCCCCCATGTTTTCACCTTTATTGTTTTATCACCTGACCCAGTGCGGGTATAAAATCAACCAAACCTAAAAAATTCCTTTCACTTGAGAATGAACAATGGAGGTTCGAAACGTTGTGCAAATTGTATAAATAAGTGTAATACATTCTATAGCAATTCACTTCTTTTCTTTACCTTAAAATTACGAAAATGAGTTTTAGAGAACTCCTATTTCAGCTATGCCCTGATGCTAAGAAAATAGTTAGAGGGATAGAAGCCCTAAATCAGAAAATAGTAAATACAGAATATAAGGTCATATTCAATGAGACACACACACACACACACACATATACACACACACATATTATATATATATATATATATATATATATATATATATATATATAGATATATATATATATATATATATATATATTATTAAATATGACCGAAAAAGTAAGATTAATAATTCTAACACGAATTTTCTCAATCTTTCGTACATTACGCTTCACTGTTGGAGGTAAATCAAAAATCAATTCTCCAAAATTCATTTTTATTTCTAGTCTGACGCGACACGGGCGCGTTTCGTAAAACTTATTACATTTTCAAAGACTTTAGTTCACAAATACACAACTGAATAGAACTTACGTATCTCCGTTTTTATATCTACATTTGAGTGAGGTGGAAGGGGTGATGTGGCATTAACACAAGACAGAACAAAATGTGGTATTAATAGGGTATTAATTTCATCAACACAAGACAGAACAAGAGTATTAATAGGGTATTAATTTCATCAACACAAGACAGAACACGAAACAATGGATATTGAATAGAAGTGTTTGTAGAAAGCCTATTGGTTCATATTTCTTGATGCTTCTATATTGGAGCGGAGTCTTGAGGTGGGTAGAATATAGTTGTGCAATAATTGGCTGTTGATTGCTGGTGTTGACTTCTTGATGTGTAGTGCCTCGCAAACGTCAAGCCGCCTGCTATCGCTGTATCTATCGATGATTTCTGTGTTGTTTACTAGGATTTCTCTGGCGATGGTTTGGTTGTGGGAAGAGATTATATGTTCCTTAATGGAGCCCTGTTGCTTATGCATCGTTAAACGCCTAGAAAGAGATGTTGTTGTCTTGCCTTTATACTGGGTGTTTTGGAGCTTACAGTCCCCAAGTGGGCATTTGAAGGCATAGACGACGTTAGTCTCTTTTAAAGCGTTCTGTTTTGTGTCTGGAGAGTTTCTCATGAGTTGACTGGCCGTTTTTCTGGTTTTACAGTAAATCGTCAGTTGTATCCTCTGTTTTTTGTCTGTAGGGATAACGTTTCTATTAACAATATCTTTCAGGACCCTTTCCTCCGTTTTATGAGCTGTGGAAAAGAAGTTCCTGTAAAATAGTCTAATAGGGGGTATAGGTGTTGTGTTAGTTGTCTCTTCAGAGGTTGCATGGCTTTTCACTTTCCTTCTTATGATGTCTTCGACGAAACCATTGGAGAAGCCGTTATTGACTAGGACCTGCCTTACCCTACAGAGTTCTTCGTCGACTTGCTTCCATTCTGAGCTGTGGCTGAGAGCACGGTCGACATATGCGTTAACAACACTCCTCTTGTACCTGTCTGGGCAGTCGCTGTTGGCATTTAGGCACATTCCTATGTTTGTTTCCTTAGTGTAGACTGCAGTGTGGAAACCTCCGCCCTTTTCCATGACTGTTACATCTAGAAAGGGCAGCTTCCCATCCTTTTCCATCTCGTAAGTGAAACGCAGCACGGAACTCTGCTCAAATGCCTCCTTCAGCTCCTGCAGATGTCTGACATCAGGTACCTGTGTAAAAATGTCGTCAACATACCTGCAGTATATGGCCGGTTTCATGTTCATGTCGACTAAGACTTTTTGCTCGATGGTACCCATGTAGAAGTTTGCAAACAGGACACCTAGGGGAGAACCCATGGCGACCCCATCTACTTGCTTATACATGCGCCCATCCGGGCTCAAGAAGGGTGCCTCTTTAGTACAAGCTTGGAGTAGTTTCCTCAGAATATTTTCTGGTATGTCAAGAGGAGTACAGGCTGGATCACGATACACTCTGTCGGCTATCATTCCGATTGTCTCGTCCACAGGTACGTTGGTAAACAGCGATTCTACGTCCAACGAGGCTCTTATCCCTGTGGCCCGTGTGCCCCGCAGTAAGTCAACAAATTCCTTTGGAGACTTCAGGCTGAAGGCGCAAGGAACATAAGGAGTCAGCAGGCCGTTGAGTCGCTTCGCCAGT